TAAGATCGACGCTAGGTTCTAATAATGTAGGATGTGGTCTGAATGAACATAGCCCTACATGTCTGAAAATGTATGTCAAAGTAAGTTCCCGAATGCCGGAGGAAGGGACCATGGTGTTCTTTTTGGAAGCATACAAACATGGTAAAAACCATTATGCTCCCCCCCCCCGAATTTCAGACAGGTTACTTATGACTAACTAACCTTTTCAGGATAGGGGCAGGGTACCCATGCATTGGCAAAAAATGATCAACGGTTAACAATGGAAGGGGGTCAATTTCAGTGCATTTGTAGAGGAAATTTGTGATTTTCATCCTTTTTACCCGTTTTTCATTCTTTTGCATTTTTCTTTCCCTGTTTTTATTTTCATTCTTTTGCGACGCCCATTGTTGTTTCTGTGTTCTGCTTGTAAGAGAATGGTATTGACTAAAAGGGTCTTTCCATCATTTACAATTTACTGTTGTAAATTTGCCTTTTTCGTTGTAGATAAAATTAATGTTTTACATCAATTGCTCAACTGCTTATCACGGACTTCCCAGAATATCAAACATAGAAAAGCGTGGCATTGAATCTTCTGCCTGAGACTCCCAATTCCGGCAGTGCAAAAGATTAAATATCGTGGCCGATCGTCAAGGAACAGGACTACTTATAACTAGAGGAATACCTGCGGAATGTATACTTGAACCATAAAAGCCCTCAAGACTGGGCTCTGGGCTCTAGACCCGAAGACTGAAACTTGTCAGATAAAATATGTTAAGCCGGAATGCCTATATTGAATGCATACAATCGTGGTTGAGTCCGAAGAAAGAACAAAAAGGACCGGTCCATTTCCGATGCAATTCTGTGTCATTGTTCTGGTTCCTGGTAGTTTGGATATATCAAAAAAGCACCTGTTTCAAACAGGTACTTTTTTGAAATATGTTGTCCTTGTTCAACCAGGCGAATTCGACCAGGGGTTGACCAGTGGTCACCGATCGAAATTGGCCGCATGATGACGCAGGCAATTTCTGTG